CGGATATAAAAAATCCGACGCTATTTAATCTTATGAAGAAAGAGTTTAATTATACAAGAAATTTAATTTAAAAAGAAAGTCAACTGGATATACGCAGAAGAAACCTTATACGTATATCCATTCTATATATGCATGAGAATGGAATAATCCATATAGTCGAAACGATATATGGGACGAGCACATGTGCGAAGAAGGTGCGGAAAATAAAAAGGAAATGTAAGTTTTATCCAGATTGGTGGAATTATTAACACGTTCGAATATAAAATGTTGCACATCAAGGATCAGCTTCAATCCAACCAGGGCAATTATTAAAGATCCAACATGGAGAAGGTACGATGGCATGACCTAGTAATGTGAGAAAACTTACTCAACCCTTGAGAGGACTTATATATGTGCAACCTTTATAAGAGTAGAAAATAATTCGACAGTAGAGTGTGTGCAGTGTATCACGCGTTGTAGTCGCGCGACGGTCATATTTCTAGAACAAAATTCGAAAAGGGAAAAGGAAATACTCTTGTTGTATGGGAAAGCGTGATCGTTTATTATTTCTATAGAAATGCTCAATTAAAATGTTGTTTAAAATAACAATTTAATTAACGGCCACATCCCACAGATGAATAAATGATTAAGTACATTACATTACCGCGATTCCCTGCGTTTATGATACACATAGCAATCCCGTATAGAATTCGTTTGTAATACATGTGAACATACAGCATTTCAATTACGTATAAAATATTCTCTTTATACGATAGGAATTGTAACGTTATATCAAAGAACAATTGTATTGCGAATAAGTGTTAACGTTTCAATAGATTTAATCATAACTAAACAATTTTCTGATGCTTTAAAATTACCTCGCATTCTTAAAAGTCTCTCATAAAAAGTATTATATAAAAATCTTAAATTAAATATATTTTTAATATAAATCTTTATATTAAAAAATATAGAATTTAAAAAAGAATAACTATGTTCGTGTTTCACCAGTCTATAATATGAAAAAACGTATCGAATTATTATATTCACAATCTTACGGAAGAAAATGCACATAAGAATATTTGATACAAAAGAAATACATGTTTAAGAAAAAAAATTATTCCGGAAAACGTCAAGCTGTTCGACAAATCTGCCTGACAAATATCTCTCATAAATCTTTGTAAAAATTTGAACACGGAAAAGGCGGAAAATGCGGCAACGTCTTTCAGAGCTTAAAGGCTTCATGTGAATTAATGCGATCTAGTCCATCCTGATCTACGACAAAATCTTATTAGTACACCTCACCGAGCGGCTGAAATTCACGTCTCCAACGACGTTACAAAGACAAACGTACGTAATTAAATGCTCACGTGAACGATATAACAAGCAGATATCGGAGAAGCGTGAACAGAATATTTTCCGCTGCTCCTAAATACGTCCTGAATTAATGATAGCAGGCTGATTCGCGACGAGATTCAATTAATACGCTTGAACAATCAGCTGGAACTCACCGCAACAAGAGTACGGGATGCAATTTACATCATGATGTGAATATATGATTCTAAAAATCACATCTTCCTATAAAATGTAATCTACTTATTTACAATCTATATATAATATTTTTATTTATTATATATAATTACACTAGTTTCAAAATAATTTTATAATCCTCTCATTGGAAAATATGATTAAAAACTATTTTTCCATAAATTTCTTTCATAAATAATTTTTTACTTTTTAATTGTTAGAGTACTCCGGCGAATACGCCGCGCTGGGATTTACGCCGCAGAAATCAGAAAAAAATAGAAAGAGTGGGGGTAATTTTCCCGCAACACTCTGTTACATGCCTTTATGTTATATTGTAGTATAGTGTTCACGATTTCAGTTTCTTACTGTTAATATTAATGAAATTATTGTGAGTTGAATCGATTTGTCACTGTGTTAAGTAGTATCATCATAAATTATAAAATGATTACTATACATAAAATGATTACTATAGGATGTGCAAAAGACTTAATGGTTACTTCGTGATACATGAGTGTGTAGAGGAATAGTAAAGCATGTTGTATAACAAAATACAAATACTTTGCTCTTGTATTCTTTGTTTAGTTTGTTGTCTTGTATATCCTGTTTGAAATATACGGCATTTTTAGCGGACAGGATTTATGCCCAAAGCAATGCAAAGTGCGCAGATTGAATTCAGTGCACTAAATGCAATAAACGCATTACATGAAATATATATCTCATGTCATAACACTTGTAATACATGTGGGAAGATTGTAATTATTATTTATTACTTCATATATATATTTATCATTCTTATTCCTTAATAAAATTTATAAACGCATTTTATATGCATTATTTGTAAATTTTTCATGAGTCGTACATAACCTCCCTCCCCCTGTGAGTAGCCACATATCCCACCCCTATGACATTGGAATATACGGCAAAAAGGCAAAGGTTTAAAAAAGTTCATTTTTTAATACGAAATATAAATATTTTAGATTTCTAAAATTTTTTTCATAATAGTAGACAGTACAAAGTTTTTACTGATATAGTTCATTTACTTTAAACATAGTAAATAATACTTAATGAATTAAGTTTTTAATAGATGCAGCGTATATACCGGAGTTGCCCTACATAAAATATAACTGTTTATATGAAATGTTTTAATAATTATATGTCAAAGATCATATTACTTATACAAAATTATTATTATTTGAACAAAAGGTTTCAAATTACAAATTTGTTATTATTATAAAGAAGAATAATAAATATTAAGATAAATATGTATGTGCTCCCATGAAAAATATTATATCTAAAAAATTATTCATTTTATTCATTTTATGTACAATTACATGAAATGTCTATTACAAATATTTAAATTAGTTATTGATTAAATTATTAATTACTCATGCACTTATTTCTCCTTATAGCAAATTTATTTGTAAATCTAAAAGCAAATTTAATTTTGTGATGAGTTTTAAATCATTTTTATATGTGCATACGTTGTATATATCGTGAAAATGTAAAAAAGTAACAAATGCAATTTTACTATCAATTAATATGAAATAATAATAAAACGCTTTCTTTTAATATAAATGACATAGGACTTTAATAACGTTAACAAAATTTTTAATTATTTTTAAAGTGTCTAAGTATTTAAAGTACACAATTATAACATATTTTATATAAAAATATCTATAGTCACATAATTAAAATATTAAAATATGTTTCCTTATTTTATTAATATAATGCAGGAAATCGTCGAAAGTAAACGTTGTAAAAAATCAAACCTCTCCATGTAAATAAAAAAAGTATCTCCTCTAAGTACTTCGACACTCAATTAATACACCATAGTAACGGCGTCTATCCAGTGGAAGCGCTATGTATTGTAATGACGGACGTCGATGTCAGAGGGTTTTACAAGGTGTGCCCAATAAAAGTTTCAGGACTTGTCGGATGGTACATCGAAAATCTCTCACTGAAGGAATGTAATGCACAGTTATTGATTGCCACGAACGTTAAGACCTCGAGAAATTCTTATAAATATTCTACAGAGTAACATTTTTTGCTTCTTATGCTCTATACCATTTTGACAGTTATATCTATAGTCATTTTTCTCTTATGTTATAAATAGGTCAAATTGAAATAAAAGAATATTAGTAATTGTAATCAATGATTATTTGATCTTCGTTTTTAATCATTCTAAAAATATCATGAAACGTATTTTTATCGCATTTTTTATTTTATGTTTCGTCACGTTTGATATTATAATTAGCTCTAAGAATTTAAAGAATTTAAGTATGATATTATTTTTAAAGGAAATAATAATTTTATAAAATGTTTTAATTAAAAACAGCATACTATAAAATATTTTAATTTTATCGCACGCGTTTAAGTATGTTATAATAAGTTTCCATTACATTAATAATGTCCTACTTTTCTTTAAAAACACAATTATGTTTATCTAATATTTTAAATATAAAAAGCTTTCATGACACTTTTTACAATTCTCACGTTTATGAACAATTTTTCACTCAAATTATTTTTATTCCTAATTATATATATAATAGTTCTCTTATTCTTTGTTTCAATTATTCTTGAGATATAAATTTTTTTGGTTTATTATTCAGCTTGTAGCAAATATGTAACCATTTTAATGTACCAACATATTTCTTTTCATGTTGATTTCGAACATAATCATCAAATAGTATTTTTGAAAATCAAGTTTGTATGATGAATGCTCAGATAAAGTTTTTTTTTTTTTTTTTTTTTTTTTTTAAGGAAAAGTGACGTCATCGGTCATGGTGGTAGCCTCTCGCACAATGGCATTCGACACAACACGACACAGAAATTAAATAATACTGAATTGAAATTAAAAAACGGCTATGTTATGTTCCTCTAGAGATTGATTTAACAAGAATGATGATAGTTATTGTTCAGCAACCGGTCGAATGTAATTCAGATTCGACAAAAATTGATCTCCGAACGATTGATTGGCATTCGTGCCAATATCAATCTACGTTTTCTGTCCGCTTTGATTTCCCATTTTAGTCATTCAGTGCCAGAACTTTTCGGACACGCCTGGTGCGAGTGGTAGCTCGAAATAATGGACGCGCGGCGCGCGCGAAGAGATTATTTTAATTAATTACCGCGTAGGCGGGCGCGTTCGAGCGGCAATCATAAGGACTTTGTGAAAAAAAGGGGGAGAGAAAGCCAAATCCCAGAGATTCGCGGAGTTAAGCGGATTCTGTCGATCGGTCAATTCGCGGGCGTGTTCAATTAGCGCGAACATCGAGAAAGGCTATTGCTCTGTGAGAATTTTACCGCGGGAAATCTCGGAATGTTGTCCATCAAACGAACGCCGAAAATAACTTTGAACTGGAACGAAGGAAGAGGTAGGACTGGGAGGAGGCAACTACCTCACGCAGGATCCAGTCTACGATCCACGATGTGGATCCGATCAATACAAGAGCGCAACGCGCCCATCGGATTCTGACGAATCCGCGCGTGGAACTTACGTGTCGTGGCACGATGTCGCTGGATCGGATCGCTGGATCGGAGCTCCGCCGAAGATCGCACAGTACAATTGACATCATAGCGATTAATCCCTCCCACGTATGTCTATAAGTACGAGTAATTCTGGTATGTATTCCCCGATGCTACGCCGTATCACTTTTTGACCGTACCATTTTGTCGCTTCTTCGTTAACCTTCCCTTCGTTAACTTGATGATTATTCACTCCGTCAGTTGAATGAAAACGGTGGTGACTTGTCGCGAAAGAGGAATAGAAAGAATCGGCTTTCCTCAAGATAACGAGATAAGACACGACGTGCACGATCACCGAGAGCACAGATTCGACGCCGATCTCGTCGGGAATTGCACTGGCCGGTTCAGCCCTTTACTTCGTAGCGGAGGGGTGGCGGTACGAGAGAGCGCGTTGCGAGGAAGGGATAAACGGAATGGGAGGAAAAGGAAAGCGAGAGACAGGGCGCAGTGGGGACGACCAGCGTGGGAGAATGGAGGAAAGCAGGCGTGGGAGAGATGGGAGGGGAGGATGAGAATATATACCTACCTACATAGCAGCATCACCAGCATATCCACAGTGGTGAAAACCACTGTGTGACTGTGGTACATTTTCGTGGAGCTCTCACGAGGGACGGCGAGCAACGACGGAAGCCGTGACGGCGCGGGCGGATAGGGGGACGGATACACGACGAGGAGGAAAGCAAAGGGGGGGAAAAAAAAAAGACGAAACTGAGTAGGCGAACGAGATGGAGCCGGTGGCCTCTAGAAAATTAAAACAAAAAGCATAGGGAAGCACGTCGTGTTGGAAACGGACTCGTACACACACCGACGCGTTCTCCTGCTTTCCTCTCCTCCTTCCCCCCAACCCTCCATCCCCCCCCCCCCCGGACTATATCCGTCCTTCTTTCATCGCATCTTCTCTGCATCCTTTCTCCCTCTTCTCCGTTCAACGGCGGAGGCACTTTTATTTCCCTTTATCGTTTATTATGAGTGGTACGTTACCCGCCGACACGCTCGTTCTCGAAAAAGACGTGCAAGAAGGTGTCGACGCGGGTTTTTTTTTCCTTTTCTCGCGCTTCCTCTAGCTTCCTTCGAACGTTCTCCTTTTGCGGCCTCGTTGTCATAGAAAAGTCGAAAATTCATATTGGGGAACGGTGGTCCAACTGGTCGATATCGTTAAGCCTATGGTATATATATTAACAAATTTAAGGCAGTAAGCAGCAAGGAAATTGTAACAATGGATTCGCTACTGGCCTTACAGTCTCTAGTGTGATTAATCAATTCGCTTACTATTTGTGTTTACTGCCTTATGTTGTTGTATGTGCCATAGGCTTTAATTGATATTGGACTTATGTCCGCTTATTTATTTGTTCCTTTGAATGCGATATCTCTTACCTTATTCTTCTTTCTTATTCTTTTATATCTTTGTATTATATTCGCTATATAGTTTCAATGTGCATTAACAATGATGTTTAAGTAATATTCAATTTCAAAATATTAAACTCATAAATTAAAAATCTGAATAAAAAAACAGCGTCTATGTATAAAAGATATACTAAATGTGTTTTGAACATTTTCACATTAACGTCTTTAAGGTTGGTAATTTTAAATCTGTATGCAATAACAATTTAAAAATTTAAAATAATAAATAGAATATGGTGGCCAAAATAACTAGAATTTTTGAGAACTTATTTATATTTAGCTGATATTTTATATTTGTGGTACATTTTGGAGACTCCTCGCTACTAGTTCCCGTCATAAATTCTAAGTTATACTCGTAAAAATGAAATTTTTTCATTAAAAGGTAATAAAGATTCGATATTAGGTCTAAACTTGCTATATTGATTCTTTTAATTATTTAAAAATTCAATCAGTCTATAAAAACCTTTATATACTAATTAAAATTCAGCTAAATATATTCCAAAAGAATTTGTGTGCAACAAGGAATAAACAAGATCACAGTTTATCGTTATATTAAAATAATTAACTATATCTATATGAACAGTGTCAAAATCTGACAATGTTGTCATGAATTTATGATTGTAACATTCATGTATAAGAATAATATTGCAGGATACTTTTATATATGCACATATATAATATTGTATATGTTCAATTATTACGGTAACTATTATCGTTATGAAATGTTTAAAGGATTTAAAGATAGAATCACACGATTTCATCAATTTCTCGAAAGATAAGCATGCATGTTGCTATGCTTGTTTTGGAGCATACAATTTTACGTTTAACAAATAATAAAATTAGTAATTGTTTCTTTTGATTAGTATATTTAAGGAAATAAACTATAAAATAATCCATAATAATAAACGTGTATATTACAGTTCCTATGATGTCAAACCGCCATATACAACTAAATTAACGTTGATAACATTGATTTTGTTAGATGTAAGTTGGCTACTACGACACACATGACATATGACGTACGTCATGACACATAATACAAATGTTAATAATATCGCTGGAAAATAAAAACACATTTTTGGATAAAGTCAAGAATGACGTTGACAAAGCAATTATAAAAGTGTTGAAGGTACGTTTAAATACAAAATAAAATTGTGTCAAATAGGGAATATTTAAAACTTGCGCTTGTTTTGGCTATTGTATATGACGGATTTAGGTAACCAATTAAAAATCATTACCTCGGTGGCGTAACTCTTATATGACGCTACGCTTTGCCGAGACACTATCGTATCTCCTAATTATAGGAACTCTAATGTACGTCAGCATGTAGCGCTCAATATACCAATTCTATCTAGCATACGTCAGAGCAGACATGACTGCATACAAGTTTGTAATTCAAGACATCGAGCATTGTGTGATTGTATCTTAACATTATAATTAATTTATATTATGCGTTTTAATTCCTTGCGCTATCATTAAACCAGACAAACAAAACAGTTGCAGTCTGTCATGAATCTCTAGCGAACGTATTACTTCACTTGCGTCACTTTATTACCTTCTCAAGTTTATGTACATTTTCTTTCCATCGTTTCTCGTCGGCAAACTTCTTAATCAGCAGGAAGTTCAAGGTGGAGAATTCATACGCTCAAGCAAAACTGTCTTCACTCGTACGTCATTGAGAATTCTTCTGCTCGCTTCATATTGCGGAAAGAATCTCGGGCGCGAGCGCGAGATAAATCGAGTTTTAGAATGCGAGTACGCCGAAGGAGAGGCAAGGGGACAGGATCTTATTGAAGATAGGTGTGTTCTTAGTGGACGAGAGCGATTTATCCGCTATTTCTCACGAGATTTATCTACCCATTCTTTAATCCTTTTCCAATCCGCCCGCCTACTGTGCCGCGCCGAGAAACTACTGTTTTTTTTTTTTTTTTTAATCGACTTCAAACTATGATTTATCGCACCGCTCTTTGTGCTGTAGGTGGAGATTTTTCGCGCGCGTTTGTGATAAATCGAAGTCATAGAAACGGAAACGAATGGAAGAAAAAGCAAGAAGGTAGATCTCATCTTATTGCGAACGTATAAACGCTCAGAACGTGTGTGCGACTCTTCCGCCATTTCTCGCGAATCTCTCTATCGCCTTTTTAATTCTTCTGTCGACTGTTGGGAATAAAATCGAACCGAGAATAGCGCGCATAGGAACTAACCAGACGGATTTTATCAGGCGTCACACGCTTCAGCGAAGATTTCGTACGTATTGTAAACTGAGCTTAATCCATTCATGCGTTTCTTCTCCGCAAGATAATACCGTTTTCATTCTTGCAAATAGAATATGGAGATAGTAAATATTCAGCTGGAGGGAGCCAGTGCCGATGACGTTGACCTTGATATATGTTGTCAAGGTTATGATCCTGAATAACCTCCAACAGGTTTTAGTTATCGTTGTTCCGAAAAAGTTATTAACAAAAGTTTGAAAAATAACTTATCTTATATTTGCTATATAATATTAAGAGCTATCCTCTCACCTTTTCGTGCTTACGTAATGACTTTCCACGCAAAGAGAAGTTCACTCCCACTTCTCCCTTGCCTAGGGATGCACGACTTTCCACGCAAAGCGAGATCCATCCCATCAGGAAGGACGGGGGGGGGCAGGCGGGAGGGAGGTAGAGTGAACTTCGCTTTACGTGAAAAGTCATTATACTCTATAAGTAAGGGATGTAAGGTAGTATTTAATACTGTGTGTACTAGAAATAAGATAATATTTCTTAAACTTCTTTTATCAATTTAACTTTTTAAAATAAAACAAGTAACCGAACTCTCGAGAATATCGAAAAACAAAAACAAATAAGGGCTAATGAGAGTTTTTTGCGTGGTTGTTAGTGCGAAAATTAAAACCATTTATTGTCGAAAAACTATAATATAATTAGTTACGCATATGTATGTTGTAAAATTCTCACTTCTTCATGACGAGACGGCAGAGTGGCAACTCAATCTCTTTATTCTATTGATGATCTCTTTATTCAATAGTTGACAATCCCAGTGGCAACGAATAATAGATAAAAATCTATATAGGTATGGAAGACGTGAACATCAAAAATTAATCAGAATCGAAAGACAAAGGATCTGTAAATTATTCATATTTAGCGATATAAATTCACTACAACCGTTCCGAATATTGTGACGGTCAACGTTCAAAATTTAAATGTTGATCGTCACAATATTCGGAACGGTTGTAGTGAATTTATATCGCTAAATATGAATAATTTACAGATCCTTTGTCTTTCGACTCTGATTAATTTTTGATGTTCACGTCTTTCATGGTTGTATGGATTTTTATCTATTATTCGTTGCCACTGGGATTGTCAACCATTGCCAATAAAATAAAGAGATTGAGTTGCCACTCTGCCGTCTCGCCATGAAGAAGTGAGAATTTTACAACATACATTCAGACATACTAACGATGGTCCGAAAGCAGGCCGAAACGCTTATGCGTAACTAATTATATGTACTTTTTCGACAATAAACGATTTTTATTTTCGCACCAATAACCGCGCAAGAAATTCTAATTAGTCCTTATTTATTTTTGTTTTTTAATTTTTTAATAAACATGGACGATGGTTGAGTACAACCTGTTGGATCAGGTCGGATCAGGTTACTCAGGATTATGACCTTAACATGTGTCAAAATCATCGATGCTGGCTCCCATCTGAATATTTATCACGAAAGAATCTGGCAGAAAAAAGCGTAGCTTTGCCCCGCACAAATTGACATATTAATATTTAAATTAATATTTAAAGTTGACGGCTATTCAGATCAGAAAATCTATCACTCATTAACATTACGAGAAAGGTTTTCAATCGTTTCTCAATGCTTTTGTTCTACTTTGGAAACGACTGTTTTTGTGAAATAAGTTTACCAGC